GGGAAGGTGTACAATGAAGTCGTGGCCAGGACCACCATGGTGATGTACAGCGGTCTCGTCTCCATCATATACCGGGGTGCCTTGACGCAGTACCAGGGGTCGTTGCGAATGACGGCTACGATCATGAAGAGGATTGTGAGGCCGGACACCACCGAGTACGCGCGCACGAAGCGACGCAAAATGGTGACGCACAGCCTGTCGCAGCGCTCGTTGAGCAGCTCGGCCTGCGCGGCCACAGAGCGTTCCATCGGCGTGAAGCCGTCCAGGATCTCGCGCACGGCCATGATCTGAGGGCGCACTGGGGTGCTTCAGGCAGGGGCGGCTGTGGGGATAAAGGTGTGGGCAGGGGGTATTGGCGGATGACTGTCTACGTAGGGGCAAAATTGCGTGTATGGCCCCGGAACAGTGCAATGTAAGGGGGCCGGAGGCTTCCCCCTCCCGCCCTCCCCCACCTGCGCAGCAAATATTTTTCCGAAAATTTCGTGGTTGGATCGGGGAAGTACATTTTCAGGTTGCTGCAAATGTTATAACAAGCATAGATATGACGAAGAATAGCATTGCTTCGCGGATTCAACCGGGAACTCCCCGGAAAATTATTTGCTGTGTGGCCAGTCCTGCCCTGCTTCAGGGACTTGCCTTCTGGAGAGCACTCCCAAATTACCGTAACGGCGTGCTTCTGTAGTTGGAACATCTTGAAGCAGCACAGACTGGAGCCGAGCGCGTCCGCCAAGAAGCCTACGAGCTCCACGTTGTCGTCGTGCTCGCCCAGTGCGAAGTACACCAGCGGCGGAGCGCTCGCCGAGCCGAACGAGTACGGCAGCACGTACGAGAGCGCGCGCGCGACTGGCCCGCGGCCCTCGGGCCAGGCGCAGACCATCCGCAGATAGCGCACCACGACGTCCAGGGCCTGCGCACGCACAACAACGTCAAAGACACGGGCGAGGCGACGGGTTCACCTCCTCATCAAGCAGATCGGTGCGCACCGCTGTATGCGCCCGCGGCTCCGGGGCCGCCGGTGAACGTGCACCCTCCAGGGTGTCATCGGGGACGCCGACGCGGGCAATGCCGCCAATCCCCGCCATCACACACGACGACACAGCTGCGACGTGGTCTTGCGCTGAGTGGCAGTCCTGGGAGTGCGCCTTGGGGTGGGGCCGGGTTGCCGAGGTGAAAGGGGTCAGGGGAGTGGGGGGACAGCCCGTGGCTTCTAAACAGATAATGCCCAACAGAATAACGAACGAATGTATAAATCAGTAAAGATGATAAATGGCGCACGAGGTAATAGTTGGAGGGGATGGGTTCGGTGACGGCAGGGGAAAACTCTCTAGAATCTTTTGGAATGCTTATTATTTACCTCCAAAAAATCCCCCCCCCCCTAATTGGATCTCCAAATGCCCGCTTTAGTCGTGGGTAAAACCTTTGCACCAGGAACTCACACGGTCTGCTATAGCCGTCAGTCGAACCCGATACCTCAGTTCCTGAGTCTCAAGACACCCCAGCCCAAGTTTCTGAGGATAGAGTTCACCACTAGACTGCGCTGGACTGATTGTTCATACACGAGGGTGGCTTTTTGAGCCGACACTGTGGCTACGACGACACAGTGACAACTCACGAGCCAGTGAGAGCGGTCCAGGAACAAGTCACCGCAGTTCCAAAAGCAAGAAAGCGGCCGGTTCCATCCCGTCACCCTTTTCCGGGGGCGTTCCGAGACCGGGGGCGTGGCGTTGTGAAGTCTGGCCAAGTATCGGAGGTTCAAATACGCGTCCGGACCTGCCCTGTCAGTTTAATGTTAGAATTTGCACATGCAGTGCGTGAAGTTCGGATAGTCGGCAACCCGCGCTGAGGTTCAAGTAATGCACCAAACCGAGAAGAGAAATCGCGATGGACTTGCCACCGTGTCCGTCCCCTTTGCCAGCAGTGTGCACCGCACCACGTCGTCGTCTACCTCACATTGAGAACGGTGGAGTAGAGCGAGTAAGACCGTCGCATGATCTGCGAGAAGAGAGGGTAAGTGAGTCGCACGTCTATGCGTTTGGTATACAATGCAGCGAGAAAGCAGAAACGAATACCATGAACGATCACGGGCTAAGTAGTGCGCACAGAAAAACGTTTCGTAATGGAACAATTTTTTTTTGTTTAAATGAGGTATTTTCCGAATTAGAAGAACAAGAGGAATATCGTCTGCTCCCGGACCATCACAAAGCCTCGACCAATCAGAGAGAGCCTCTCTCGGCCTCTCTCGTGGCCGGCTCCAGAAAGGCCGTCTCTGATTGGTCGAGGCTTTGTGATGGTCCGGGAGCAGACGATATTCCTCTTGTTCTTCTAATTCGGAAAGCACCTCATTTAAACAAAAAATGTTTGTTCCATTACGAAACGTTTTTCTGTGCACACTACTTAGCCCGTGATCGTTCATGGTATTCGTTTCTCACGTCCTGGAACAGTTGTAGAGTAAGGTTGGTGAGGCGGCCCGCTGTGAGGAACAGGGGTCTCTGCGCGCGCAGGACGATCGGGTAAAGGATGCGCCCCAGCTGCGTATCCTTCCCGGACAGCGACGGGTAGAATGACGAGTAAGTCGCCGAGGACAGCTGCGTCGACTGGGGGCGCGGGTTCAAGTAGGGTCAATTGTCAAAGGTATATCACAATTCTTAGCAGTAGAGAAATGTTACCCTTCTTACCGCCTTAGCGACGAGGTCCCCGGAATAGCAGAAGGTGAAGAGCTGAGTGAATGTAAACATCACGTAGACGATGCTGAAGGCGACGTCCTGCGGTAGCACCTCCTGCGTCCGTGGAGCCCATGCAGAACATTGAATGTTGCGTTCCGTAGCAAGTGCCAGGCGGGGGTGGGAAGGGACAACTCACCTTGTTTAGCATGCGAAAGAGAGGAGTGCCCAGGCCGAAGAGGACGTAGAACATCTGGCACAGGGCGACGGTGCAGAACATGGACTCGGAAGCGCTGTGCAGCCTGCAAGGACGGAGAGGTAGAGCTGTGTGACTGTGCGAACCGGGGCTTTTCAGTTCAAATCGAATCGAACTTTGTAATTTTTTTGAATATAATACGGTATTTCGGGGTAAGGGAAGGGGCCGTCCACATATTACTTCACGCGTTTGGGGGGGCGGGGGTCTACGCTAGCGTGACGGTCCTATACCACAAGCATTGGGAGGTTAGGTGAGCCGCGTGACGTGGGGGAAATGGGGGGGTCAAAAACTGCCAAAAATAGCTTGACGTAATATGTGGACGACCCCTAAGCGGAGCGGCGGAAACGGAACCTCTGCCGTTGATCCGCGGGCGCCCGGGGGAGAGGTAAAGGCGGCGGGGCGCCGCAGAGTCTACTGCGCATGCGCACTTCGCAGGCTGAGACGGATCCATAGCAGCCGCTCGGCAGTTCCGTTTCCGCTGCTTCGCTTACCCGAAATACCCAATTCTTATGTGCCACATTAATTTATAAATTTTATTTTCCTGTGTAAAAAATGTGCAAGAACAGTAATATCAAAATATCAGCCGGCAGTTGATATGCCTTCAACCATCAGAATCCTGTGACGGGACGGAGTATGCCTAATTTAAAATCTCGATCCTTTCGTGACCAGTGAATCGAATCAGAGCAGATTCGATTCGATTTTGAACCATTATTCGCACAACACTTATAAGGAGTACGCCGGCTGATGTGCTCCCCGTACCCCTCACCTGATGATCTGCTGGTGGTAGATCGCGCACAGGCGGAGGTGTTTTCCCTCCTCGGCGCCGTCCTGGAGGCCAATCTCGTCGGCGTCCTGGCGCACCGCCTGCCGAAGCATCAGGACCAGCACGTCGCACTTGCAGGCCATGTGGAGGCTCAGCGTTAAGATCAGTCCGTCAAAGAGACCTGCAAGGTCGCGGCGCAGGGATGTACAGTTGTACCAACAAACCCCAAATTGTTCCTAAATCGTTACCCTTTGGACTTGATTGGTACTCATGTTCTTTTTACAAGGCTAAATTTTCGGCTTAAATTGAGCGCAAAATGGACTTGAGGCCTTCAAGTACTCACTTTTCTAGGAGCGGCACACCAGCTTTGCTCCATGCACCTACCTATCGCCACGGGGAAGGTGTACAATGAAGTCGTGCAAAGGACTACCATGAAGATGTAGAGTGGTCGCGTCTCCAACATATACCGGGGTGCCTTAACGGGGTACCAGGGGTCGTTGCGAATGACGGCTACGATCATGAAGAAGACAGCGAAGAAAGACACAACCGAGTACGCGCGCACGAAGCGACGTAGTATGGAGACGCACCGCCTCTCGCAGCGCTCGTTCAGCGGTTCGGCCTGCGCGGCCACAGAGCGCTCCATCAGCGTGAAGCCTTCCAGGATCTCGCGTACAGCCATGATCTGAGGGGCACCGGGACGCTTCAGGCTGGGGCGGACAGTGGGGATAATACCAGGGCAGGGGGAATCGGCGGATGACTATCTACGTAGGGGCAAAATTGCGTAAAGGGCCCCGGAATGGTGCAATGGGGAATTTTATTGGTATAAAGAAGATCAGGAAGAACAAGTCAGATCATCACAAGCCTTCAACTGTTTTTCGGAAATCGACTGCTTTTCAATTGTTTTCAGCAGACGACTTCTGAAAAACAATTGAAGGCTTGTGATGATCTGGCTTATTCTTCCCGATCTTCTTTATACCAATAAAATACCCCATTCACGGGGGGCGGAAGGCTGTCCTCCCCACCTGTACAGCAAATGTTTTTCTGAAAGTTTCGCGGTATGGATCCGGGAAGTACATTTTCAGGTTGCTGCAAATATTACAACATGCATAGATATGGCGAAAAATAGCATTGCTTTCCGGATTCAACCGGGAACTTCCTGGAAAATTATTTTCTGTGTGGCCAGTCCTGCCCTGCTTCAGGGGCTTGTCTTCTGGAGAGCACTCCCCAAATTACCGTAACGGCGTGCTTCTGTAGTTGGAACATCTTGAAGCAGCACAGACTGGAGCCGAGCGCGTCCGCCAAGAAGCCTACCAGCTCCACGTTGTCGTCGTGCTCGCCCAGTGCGAAGTACACTAGCGGCACACCGCCCCCCGAGCCAAACGAGTACGGCAGCACGTACGAGAAAGCGCGCCCAAGCAGCCCGCGGCCCTCGGCCTCGGGCCAGGCGCAGACCATCCGCAGATAGCGCACCACGACGTCCAGGGCCTGCGCAAGCACAAAAACGTCAAAACACGGTCGGGGCGACGGGCTCACCCGGGCTCACCCCCTCAGCGAGCAGAGCGGTGCGCACCGCTGTATGGGCGCGCGGCTCCGGGGCCGCCGGTGCACCTGCACCCTCCAGGGTGTCATGAGGGACGACGACGCGGGCAATGCCGCTTATCCCCGCCATCACACACGACGACACAGCCGCGACGGGGTCTTGCTCAGAGTGGCAGTCCTGGGAGTGCGACCTGGTGTGCGGCCGGGTTGCCGAGGTGAAAAGCGGCACGGGGGAGTGGGGGGCAGCCCGTGGCTTCTAAACAGATAATGCCCAACAGAATTACGAACGAATGTATAAATCAGTAAAGATGGCGCACGAGGTAATTGGAGGGGATGGGTCCGGTGCGGTGCCTGAAGAGTAAAACTCAAGGAACTTTTGCAATGCTAATTACTTACCTCCAAGAAATTTGACAACCCCCCCCCCCCAAAAAAAAAAAATAGAAATAAATAATGGCTGTGAAAATACCTCTGAGAGCCGCGATCATTTTACCTCCAAAATTATCAAAACTGTGGACCCTACATCTTTTACCAACAGCTGAATAAAATATTCTGATTCATAACCACAACATAGTGATTATGACCTGAAGCGACACGCCGCGTGCACTCTACGGCGTTTCTGTTATTTGCACGCGGGGAATTCAAGAGTGCAGCATAGCGTTGTGGAACGAGTAGGGTCCCAAGCACATCGGTCACCAGCCATGATCGCTGGCCGAGTGCGCTAAGGCGTGCGTCCCGTTTTGGAGACTCGGGTTCTAGTTGAAGTGCGGTCAGGGAAAAAAAGCGTTCGAATAACGAAATAGCAACATTCTGCACGACGCGTGCGCATGGTAAAACAACCTAAGATAACACGACGCGTTTGCCTAATTCCGAAACTGTTATGCGCACGCGGATTAAAAATTAACGCGTGCGCATAGTGAAACGGTCTAAGATAGCACGACGCGTGTGGTCAACGCTGTTTCTGTTATGAGCACGCGGGTTTTCCAAATACTCGTGCGAATAAAGATTAATTTTCAAATCGCCCGACGCGTGTCCACAAGAGAGTTAATCGTTATGCGCACACAGAGTTTTCTGCTTGCCACGAGTTTGCGATTCTGCACAGAGCAGCGACAAACGTCGGTGTCGGTAGGTGACCGATGCAAGCTCTCGTAGCGCCTGGTGGATAGGCAACATCTCGTCTGCATTGCATCCGTGTACTGCGGAGTGGCCTACCCCGAGTCTTGCAGGCGCCAGGCTGCGGCTCCGATTGAGAGATGCAATATTGAATTGACGTAGGCAGGGAGTCCCTTACATACGTTGTTGTTGACATGTTGGAAATTTTGATTTTGATTCCGCGTGCGCATAAAGGTGGATTCAGAGTTCACAAGATGCGAGCGTGATTTTCACGCCGCTAGCGTGAAAAGAGTTGTTTTGGTTAGCAGTTGACTTTATGCAACAGCCAATAACAGGCCGACGTGAGGCTATGCCATTATTTTCAGCTGAATCAGCTTTGGAGCTAGCGTGATTTTCACGCAAGCGTCTGCTAGCAGCGTGATTTTCACGCAAGTTCGAAGGGGCAC